GGGTGGGGGTCCTGGGAGGAAGTCTGGGCATAGGGAACCCTGGGACAGTCTCCACTTGAGACCGTCCTGTGCGTCCCGAGCGGCGTCCTAAAGGTTGTTTACTGGAACCTGAGGTAGTGTCCGGGGATTCCTGGCCGTGGCGCTGGATCATTATGCTGGCCGGAGAGTTCCGAAAGAGTTTGGGGAAATTATAGGGAGGGAGAATTCATCTGGGGTAACTGACCTGGTGTTGCGCCAGGGACCCGGTGTTCCGGACCCCGGGCAAGGAGCAGAAGGAATAGAAAAGGGGCCACATGCCCATGACTGCAGCCTGTTGACTACCTCCGCAAGGGTTATCCTGGCTCACTCTAAGTGAAATAAATTCAGTGTCCCGTTACCGTAGCCCAAAGGAGGGAAAGACTCCCTAGAGGCTTCACCGGAGGCGGGGGCCTGGGCTGGACGGGTGGATGGGAGGTTTGGCCACGCTGGAGCCGCGGTGCTAATGTTGCGTCTCCCTCTCCCGGCTCTGTCCGCAGGGCTACTCTTCCGTCAGCAACATGAACGCCGGCCTGGGGATGAACGGCATGAACACTTACATGAGCATGTCGGCGGCCGCCATGGGCAGCGGCTCGGGCAACATGAGCGCAGGCTCTATGAACATGTCGTCGTACGTGGGCGCGGGCATGAGCCCGTCCCTGGCCGGCATGTCCCCGGGCGCGGGCGCCATGGCGGGCATGGGCGGCTCGGCCGGGGCAGCTGGAGTGGCGGGCATGGGACCGCATTTGAGTCCGAGCCTTAGTCCCCTCGGGGGACAGGCGGCCGGGGCTATGGGTGGTCTAGCCCCGTATGCCAACATGAACTCCATGAGTCCCATGTATGGGCAGGCGGGTCTGAGCCGCGCGCGCGACCCCAAGACGTACCGGCGCAGTTACACGCACGCCAAGCCGCCCTATTCGTACATCTCGCTCATCACCATGGCCATCCAACAGAGCCCCAACAAGATGCTGACGCTGAGCGAGATCTACCAGTGGATCATGGACCTCTTCCCCTTCTACCGGCAGAACCAGCAGCGCTGGCAGAACTCCATCCGCCACTCGCTCTCCTTCAACGATTGTTTTCTCAAGGTGCCCCGCTCCCCAGACAAGCCCGGCAAGGGCTCTTTTTGGACCCTGCACCCGGACTCGGGCAACATGTTCGAGAACGGCTGCTACCTACGCCGCCAGAAGCGCTTCAAGTGCGAGAAGCAGCTGGCACTGAAGGAAGCCGCCGGTGCCGGGGGCGGCGGCAAGAAGGCGGCAGCTGGGAACCAGGCTTCGCAGGCTCAGATCGGGGAGGCCGCTGGGCCGGCCTCCGAGACTCCGGGGGGCACTGAGTCGCCTCATTCGAGCGCCTCCCCGTGCCAGGAGCATAAGCGCGGGGGTCTAGGGGAGCTGAAAGGGACGCCTTCCGCGGCGCTGAGCCCCCCAGAACCGGCACCCTCGCCAGGGCAGCAACAGCAGGCCGCAGCCCACCTGCTGGGCCCACCCCATCACCCTGGCCTGCCTCCTGAGGCCCACCTCAAACCTGAGCACCACTACGCCTTCAATCATCCTTTCTCCATCAACAACCTCATGTCTTCGGAGCAGCAACACCACCACAGCCACCACCACCACCAGCCCCACAAAATGGACCTCAAGACCTACGAACAGGTGATGCACTACCCTGGCTACGGTTCCCCCATGCCCGGCAGCTTGGCCATGGGCCCGGTCACGAACAAAGCGGGCCTGGACGCCTCGCCCCTGGCCGCAGACACCTCCTACTACCAGGGAGTGTACTCCCGACCCATTATGAACTCCTCTTAAGAAGACAGCTTCAGGCCCGGTTAATTCTGGCAGCCGGCAGCCGGGACAAGGACAAGAGAGAGGAAGGAGGGGTTGAGACTTTGGGGAGGGTGTGTTGGAAAGGTGCAAGGAAGAAGAAATTACACCTCCACCCCAAGACAACTGTCTGCTGTTCTCCTCTGCAGCCTTTCCTTCCCAAACAGATGGGCCACACTGATGCCTATCAATAAAGAGGGAAAGGGGGAAAATATGAACTTTTAAAAAAACCTCCCGTTTCCACTACTGTGTAGACTCTTGCTTCTTTAAGCACCTGCAGATTCTGATTTTTGTTGTTGTTGTTGTTCTCCATTGCTGTTGTTGCAGGGAAGTCTTACTTAAAAAAAAAAAAAGGAAAGAAAGAAAAAAAAGAAAAACTTTTGTGAGTGACTTGGTGTAAAACCATGTAGTTTTAACAGAGAACCAGAGTTGTACAATTGTTTAAAAAGAGGAAAAAATAATGTAAGGGCCTATTGTAATGGCCAAGTAAAAAGGAAAAAAAAAAACAATGCATTCCCATTTTTGACACGGTGAAATCCAAGTCTTGGGTCTGATTAATTTATGGTTTCTGCGTGCTTTATTTATGGCTTATAAATGTGTATTCTGGCTACAAGGGTCAGAGTTCCACAAATCTATATTAAAGTGTTATTGCTGGTTTTATTCATTGAATCTTTTCTTTGAAATTTTCTTTTTTCTTATTTTTCTTCTCTCTCTGAATTAAAAAAAAATAAACAGATTTAGAAATAATGTCAAGAAGAAGGAAGCAAGACTCTGGCTGGTTACAGGGGTTTTTTTTGGGGGGGGTAAGGGAGTTGTTGTTTTTCCAACATTTTATTAAAATACTAAAGATGAGTGAATTCTGCAGGAAGCACATGGCACCCTACTGCCAAGATTCTAGTTAACATTTTCACTATCCTTACTTCAAATTTGTACGTCTAGCCGAATCCATCAGTTAATCCATCTTTATTTCTCTAAATGAATTTCAAAGTAAATTGCAGATACCAGTACACTTCCACAGAACACTTCAGCAAGTACCTCATTAAATAGAACTCAATATTGTTTATGGTCACTTTTTAATTTTGAGGTTAACTTTACACATAATAAAACACACAAGTGCCAGATGAACCATTCCAGCAGGTTTCTTTTTAACACCAAGAGAAAACCACTCTTCACCTATCTTTCCACCTGGTCTGTTGGGAGGCACTCTGGTTTTGAGATCTCTTGGGAGACTGGACTGGCTTCTCTAGGGGAAAGCCAGGATTTTACATGTATTTGCTATATGTCAGATCTCAGGCTTCTGTTCAAGTCCAAGCCTAGACTGGACTTGCAAATTCCTAGTGCAGCACTTTGTCTTTTTACCACTGCTGGTGGCACCCCTTATGTTCTTGTGGAATCCAGCTTCTTCTTGGATCCTCCAAGTTTGTGTCTACTCCACCACCCACTCCCACCCTTCTCCTTCAGATAAGGTGCTCTGGAGGACCTTGGCAGACCCAGGAGTGGTGAAGCACCTGATCTGGGGCAACCTTTAGAAGATTGTTCTCCTGCAATTGGTTTCAAATGGATAACTGCAAGTGACCAGCCAATATCCTTTTAAAAAGTAAGGCATATTGGGGGTGAGGTGTCTGGTGCTGTTTGCCAAAAGAGAGATTGCAGTCTCTCAAGCTTTGTGCCTCTTTCTTCTCAGCAAACCCTGATGATACCCTTCCAAAACATCCTGTTGGCCCAGGAGTTCAGGTTGGCAAACCAGGATTGCTGGCTTAGAGGATGAGTGGGTATTTTGTGAGCCTTCAAAGAAATTCCAAAAGTATAAAGACAGACTCAGAATGAATTCTTACAAGTAGTGCTACCTCTCCTTACAGTTGGCTTGTAAATTGGTGGCCAACTGTGAAACAGTAGCCCAGGCGTGCAAAGGGAAGCCTGACCATTGGCTTTGCCTGGGATATCTACAGGCCTATAAGCTGTTGGGATTCAATGTTGTAGCCCCCCCACCCCCCTCCGTCTTCCGGCCACTGCTGCATGTATCCTGCAGGTGCCTGGACGTATTGCCTCTTATTTTAAAATCCAAGTTCCTGTTTCTGAGACTTGGCTTGTGGGCTTTCTGGCTATCCAAACCTGGAATGTCCCAGCTGTGCCCGAGCCCTAGAAACCGCCTCTTCCGCAGCCCTCAACCACCTTGCCAGGGTCTCTGCACCCTCCTCCCAACCCTGGCCTTCCCACTCGCTTGAGGGGGGTTTGCTCCTCGCCTCCGGCCCCCTCCTCCAAATCCCTTTTCAACACTCCACATTGTCCCGAAGAACACAGGGAAGAGAAATTGGGGGGTGGGGGATCCGGAGGCCGCAGCCAGCAATCAGGCAGTCTCTCCCCCTGGCAAGGACACACACGTCGTGAGCCCGGCCTGAAATGTGTTTCATTATCACATAAAAGGCTCCCGTGGCGAAGGAGCCGAGAGGCAGGGCCGGGGGCCGAGTGGGGGACAATGGAGGCTGAAAGCGCTGCCCTAACCTGCTATGTTTCGTATCGCACGCCCATTGTTCAAGGGTCGTTTTAAACTACTTAGCGCGCCCCCCTCCACTGATCCCTGCCGATAAGATATAGTTCTGTCCGAATACATAAAAAGGATGTCTCGGAGCGGGTCCTTTCGTCGGCTTTTCTGCGCTTCTTGTGTCTTTCACACACAGCCCCTCCGATCAACCCCCTCCCCTAGCCGGGGTTCCAAGCTTAGGAGGGCAGGGATCGCCCTCCGCCTTTCCCCCCAACTCTACGTTGTGGGGTGCAGTGGTTCTCCCCCCGTCTCTTTTTCTTCCTTTTACCCGCGCCTTCAGCGCGCGGGTTTAAGCAACCGTGATCTGTGAATAAACAAAGTCAGTAAACAACCGAAAAAAACATTCTAGATCCGAATTCCAGGAGGGTAAACTTTCCATGCCACGTCACACTTCAGCAAATTTGCACAGATATTATATTGCCTCCCCCCTCCTTTATTATTCTTTTTTTTTTTTGCCAGGATCCCATTGTACTTAACTGAATTTTATAACGCTGATCGATATCTTGGTAAAATATTCATTTTTAAACTAGCGGGCAGTGAAATCTTTGCTTTGTGTGCTAAAGTCAACAGTCGCTCCGTTTGAGCTCAAATAAATGCAGGGATGCCTCGGCTCGGCGCAGTCGGACGCCTCCCTCCGCGCATTGGACGCTTTGCCACCCGCCCGCCTTCCAGCCACTGCAGGTAGGGAGCGCACCCACTCGGGGACCGCGCCCGGGCTCCCCGCAACAACTCAGGTCCGTACACTTCCCTTTTCCTCCCCTGCCTCAGCTACTCCCTCTCCCTTCCTGGAGCTCTGGATAACTGGATGCCTGGATGCGAGTTGAGGGTTGTAGCAGGAATCTCAGTCAATGAAGACTCAGGAGGTTGGGAGGTGGCCTTTTTTACTGGGCGTTTCGAGAGTGTCAGGCATAAAAGGATGAGGGGTCCTAGAGTCAGAAACTCAGACTTAGTCTAGGCTTTGAGCAGCTAAGTTTGGTGGGGCCTCAAGGCAATGATAACCTAGGACCAGTCCCTACAGCATCTGTAGCCCCTCGGGGCTGGGGATTCGATCTGAGCGCTGCCTTTCCTAAGGACAGTGGCTGGGAGGAGAGGTTCAGAGTCTAGGGTAGGGGTCAACAGGAAACGATGTGCGTGGTGTCAGCGACCATTCCTGAGAGACACAGGCCCGAGCATGGTGGCCTCCCCCCACCCCCAAGGCCCACAATAGTTTGAGTCCAGTCTCAGTCCTTTCTCGGATACAGTCAGGCCAAGATGACAGTGGGGGTCGGCACCAAGCTGGAGCAGGGGAAGGAGCGGTAAAGCCTTTCGAAAAACTAGTAGCGTTAGCTTTCTCCGTAGAAAGTGGCCAATGATGGCCTTTGCCCACTGGAGCGCTTGGCCGTAGGCAGGTTGGGTAACCTTCAGGGTTATAAACTGCGCCCAGGACTGAAAGTCAGAAATCGGCCGCGGAGTCATGCATCGCCCCATTCTTATTGCAACTCCGTTGCCTATTTTCTGATGGAGCCTGGGTTCGCGTCTGGCCGGACTCGAGGGTGTCCCAGCTTACTGGACGTGCGCGCTCAGGTGCAGAACGTCCGAGCAGAATCAAGCCGGTCTTTCAGCCGCTTGCAAGCGGGTGGTGACTTCGGGAAATCAGTAGTTGCTCAGAGGCTGTTGAAAAGGCAGGACGCTCGGCTTTCGAAGGCAGGATTCAGAAAAGTTGTCTTTCCCCTTAGGTTTGTCCCCTCCCACCATTCTTTCTCCAATCTACATTCTCCCTAGGGTCTTTCCTTTAAACGTCTGGGTGTCAGGCGTCCTGAGATGTCCGTTCTCAGCTGGGTTTTACTAGGTATTTCACTAAGCAGTGTGAGACGCGCTATGTAACCGGCCCACGGAAAATGCCTACCACCCCCAACTGGGAAGCTTTTCTGTCTGAGCCCCAGTTGCCAGATCGCGAATCCAAGTGGGCAGAAATCAGTCTCACTGATCCGCAGGATCAGTGTTATATGGGCACCTCCATTGTATAGGGACTCTGGATCCTCCATTTCCCTCCTTTCCTGGCGCCAGGGGCTGCTCGCCTCGTTCACCGTACCGGAGGCCGGCTGGGGAAGCGCCTGCCGGCCACCGGACCGGGCTCTGATTCGCGTGGCTGGTTATCTTTCCTGAACAAGATGGAACGCTTGCAGGACACATGGCAAGGCTAATCGTTTTTAAATAATTAATGCCTCCCCATTCCGCTGGTAATGCAAGGCCTTGAATCCGTCAATTACTTGTCATTAAACGAGTGTCGCCCCACGGCCTTCCCTCGGGCCTTTGATGGGCGCCCCGTCACCTAGCCCAGCCCACTCCACTGAGGAATTAAAAGGTGCCCGGCCTTTGAGAGCCGGGTGCGGAGAAGCCGCGGCCCTTAATTCAGTGCGGGGTTTTGAAAGAAAGACCCTCGCTGAAGAGATGTAATCTTCCAAATGACCAATTTAAACGCCTGATCTTTATCACCCGCCTTCTCGCGGTTTCATAAAGAGAAGCCAGTTCTCAGTGCTTTGGGGGCCTTTTAATGTTAGGGCGGGCGGGGTGGTGGTGGTGAAGCCAAAGATAAGGCTTAATAGGGCATAATGGGGAGGAGTTTGCCGGAGGAGGTACCTAGAGGTAGCTGGGGCAAGGAGTTTTCTTGGGAGCAGTGTATCCTTCTAAATATCCGGGTGTCAGGGAGTGCTTCGGGTGGAGAAGGGTAGCTGAGAGCAGGTCTGGAATGTGTTCATTCATGAGCGTTCCCAAAACTCAATGTAGCCTTTTCTGACTGAATCTTTACCCAGCCAGAGACAGCAAAAAAGAAGATGGTATTCCTGTCCTCCCCCTGTGGCTCCCCACCCCCGCCCCAGCCGCTGTGAATTTGGAGCTACCGAACAGCTGGTGCTGGCCAAGAGCCACAAACTTGTGAGCATAAGTCCTGCCTCACAGAATAGACACCCCTCCCCCTAAACACCCTAGTATTGCTAGTCCCGTTTTTTTTTTTTTCTGTCCCTGATACGGCAAAACAACAAGTTTTCAGATCTGAATTATTTTTACTGAAATAGGACAGCGTGGACACCAGCTCTGGCAGCAATTCCATAGCAACCCAGGCCAGCCAAGGGTTGGAGAGTGGAAAAAAAAAAAAGAAAAAACTTTTAAAAAACAAGGAAAATAGACCCCCCCCCCAAAAAAAAGTTTGTAACTCGATTTCATTATACTTCTTCCTGCTTCCTCTCTGGGTTCAAATATTCATTTTACCATAAACAAAAATGGAAGGTTCTCTGGACCTGTTTGCAAACTATGTACTGTATGTACTGTATCTTCAACCCTCCTTGTCGGCAAAGACATATCCCTTCCTCTAAGATTTATAGCTAACTTCAGATTATAGATTTCTTATAACTTCTTATCCTTAGGACAGGTGTTCCCCTGAAAAGTGGGGGAAAATAGAATAGACAGGGGATGGTGGAGAAGACAATGAGGATCAAGGGAAAAACTTTTTAAAAATGGAGAAAGGTTGAGGGGCTGTGTTCCTTGCCTGCCCCATAGGTCCTGGCTTGCTCTTCAGAGGTCTTCAACTCCATACACACTGCCTTTCTAGGGCAGGTCACCCCCATGATTTTTAAATTATTATTTTTTTATGAGTAAGCACCTCCAGAGACAAAAAATAGCAGAGAATAGATGTGTCCCCAAAGGAGCTCAGCAGGGGCTTCAGCTCCTGGTGGGTCTCTTCTCCCTTTAACAAAACTCCCAGGGAGTCCCCCTACCCTCCTCACTCCAGAGATTGCCTCAGAATCCTAAATCCTGGGGCATCTTCCCCATTCTGTTAGCTGCCTTCCTGCCCACTCTCTTATCCCTTTTTTTCCTTTCTTCTTTAAAACAATCATGTGTGTCCCCCCTTGCTCCCTCCTCCCATTGTATTTGTTGATGACCTAACACGCTCACACCAAAAGCCACACACAGAAAACCAACAACGTGGGATGGGAGGAGAGACCAATTATGACTGAGGCTAACAAGCGGGGAACACCCAAGTTGAGGCCGGCTGTCTCCTGGGAGACTGATGGAGGCTTATTTTACAAGCTGTAATTCCGTCGTGGTCCCTATTGCTAGACTAGAGGTGATGCCTCCTCTCCCCTCCCCCTTAGGCCCTGTACCCTTGGAATCTATCCCAAATTTCTTTTCTTTTCTTTTTTTTCTTTTCTTTTCTTTCTTTTTTTTTTTTTTTTTTTGGTATTTTCTGCAGGAAAATACCAAAACCTTGTACTAAAGTCTCTCACACAGACAGGTAGACAGGACAGGATGTTTTCAAGCACAGCTTCGCAACTATATACCTCTCCCCCGCCACCCATAAATGACTTTTCTTCAGAGCTTGGATCTTTCTTCAGATAACCACATAAACTGGTCAGATGTCATTAACTCTCTCCTCTCTGTTTCTGTCTGTCTGTGAGTTTCACTATTTGATAACACAACTGATATCTGGGCATGCTGAAAGAAGCAACACAAATTAAGTTACATTCATTCATGAAAAACTAAATTTCTCATGGTCCCTCTAGGGCAAGTCCCTGCTCCTGTTAATTAGAAGTACCAATATTCTCAGCAATGTCAGATGATGATGGCAGGAATACTTTATTTATTTCACTTAAACATCATTAACCAAGAAGGAAATTTCAGCATCACAAACATATTTGTGTAATGGAAAAATATTGATGTTTGGTGCACATCAGAACTTTGAAATGAGATTTGCTGTGTTTTAGTTCTACTTGCTTTTCTCATTCCATTTCCACTTGCTTAAATAATTTCCCCCATAGTTAAATCAACTTTCCCTTTGTTTTATTTATTTGAAAGCAATAAAACACTGGTTTAAGAATAAGCAAGAATGTTTTTGAACCACAGTTGGTCATGAGCCAAGCAAATCAAAGTAGAATTGCATGCATGTGAATTTTGACTTGTTATTTCCTTAGAAATATGATCTCATTTCTTTATGATTTCTCTTTTACAAAGCAGACATAATTGTATAATTAGTTCTATTGGGAAATTCTTAAAGGAAAGCATATAATTCCTAATTTGAAATCATGAATGTTGAAATACATTACTTAAAAATATAAAACATAATCTTGATAAGTATTTGGGAGAAAGATAGAAAGAATGAATGCATGAGGTGGGTAGAATGGGGCAAGAGGACAAATGATTATATAACATATTCTGTGAAGGAATGAAGTGAAGTGTCTTCCGGGGCAAGATCTGGGTCATAGAGAACTCTGTAGAGTGGTCAGAGGAAACTTAAGGAAAGAAATCAGAATGGCAGTGCTGGGGGATAGCTCAGTGGTAGAGTACTTGTCTAGTATGCACAATGTCCTGGGTTCCCAGCACTGTAGAGGGAAAAATATTAGGATATTATCATGGGTCATCTTTGATATCAACAACAACAACAAAAATGCAATTGTGTTCGTGTTTTCTGCTGGCTATACCTTCTAAAACCTTTATTAGTATAAAATAAAAAAAACATTTCACTATATATTTTCCATTTGTACTGCAATTCTAAGCTACATTTTGAACTGAGTAGTTCATACAGTGGAAGAAGTTGTTACTGCAGCTATATGCCTTGCTGACTGAGAAAAATTACACTTTACCCAGAAAAACCAGTCCATTTTTTGGCAGAAAATTTGTCTTTTGTTTTATCATTTTAGTGTTTCTTA